TGGATGGACTTGTGAGGATCTTTGTTTGCTTTTCTTCTTGCTCTATATTGATTGAATCCCTATCACCAAAGAAAAGTTGAGTGGAGAATGGATTATTTTATGATTAATTGTAACTTTCCTTCGAAAAATTATCTCATAAAACAAACCCCCTTTTGAACTTTTTTTTAAATTTTAATACATGCCTAAGTTTTCTGTAAGGAAAGAATAATGATTATATTAATAAATCCCTTTTCCCCCCTCACAAGTCAACAAGTTTCTTGATGAATGTTCTACTCTGAAGCTTTAATAATTTGTTAAATGGGATCAGAGTAGTTAATTTTGGATGATGTGATTACTCGATCTACACGACCTATAGTTGAAAAAAGAGATTATAGGATGAATGACAAAGGGTGCAGACCAAAAAAATTCATTAGTAGGTGTTAATGAAGTTGAAGTTATCGAATATCCGCAGTTAGACATGCCAATCTTTGAAGTTAAGTTGCAAATATTCTCAACATTGATTAGTTGTTCTAATTATTCATCTACTGTTTATGTACTTAAATCTCTTCAGCCTTATTCATTCAACTCAAAATATATCAGGCATCATGGCATTATCGTGCTTGTCTCAATGTGGAACTGGTGTGGCATCTGAACTTGGTAAAGATACAGCTCATTACCTTTTTGGTCGTTTGAAGTCCAATGCTGGCTATCTAATTCACTACAAAAAGAAGGTTACTAGTCTCCAAGAAACTTTTGAGGATTTGGGAAGCATAAAAAATGACATTCAACGAAGAACCGAAGCAGCTGAGAAAAATGGAGAAGTGGTAGATGACGTAGTGACTTCATGGCTAAGAAAAGTTAGTGAACTCGAACAAACAGTAAATACAATGTTAGCAGTGGTTAGAGAGAACAAAAGATGCTTCAGTGGATTCTGCCCTGATTTAATTTCACGTTACAAACTTGGGAAAGAAGCTACACAGAAAAAACTTGATGCTGAAAAGCTCCAAGAAAAAGGGAATTTCGCGTCAGTATCTCAACTTCCTCCTCCACCTAGCATTGAATCAATGCCTGCAGGTGATTTCATGGCTTTCAGCTCGACCATCGAAGCTATGGACAACGTCCTGAAGGCAATGAGGGATGAGAATCAACAGTTAATTGGAATTTACGGTATGGGTGGTGTTGGTAAAACAACGTTAATGGAAGAACTCGGGAGGCAATTCTCAATAAACAAAGAATTTGGCACGGTTATTAAAGTCGTGGTGTCGCAAAACCCTAACATAGATCAAATCCGCCGTGAGATTGCTGAAGAGCTGGGGATGAGACTCTTTGGAGAGGGTGAATCTGCTGCAAGAAAACTTGCTGATAGGTTGAAGAAGGAAACCAAGATTGTCATCATGATGGATGATATTTGGTCAAGGCTAGAATTGAGAGTTATAGGAATCCCAATCGGAGATGAGCACAGAGGATGCAAAATTTTGTTTACCACAAGAACACTTCAAGCTTGCCGACTAATGGAAAGTCATGCTTCAATTATAGTGGATGTTTTGACAAGAGAAGATTCTTGGACTCTTTTCAAAAGCAAAGTAGGCGATATCTGTAGTTCTCCTGATATTGAAAATGTTGCCAGAAAAGTTGCCGACGAGTGTGGAGGCTTGCCACTAGCAATTGTTGTCGTTGGACGAGCATTGAGAGGATGTAATGAGAAAAGTGTGTGGGAGAGTGCATTGATGCAATTAAAAAGATCGATTCCTGATGAGTTGTTGAATGTAGAGGAACAATTGTTCAAGTCTCTTGAATTGAGTTACAACTACATTAAGAATGAAGAGATGAAATTCTTGTTTTTGTTTTGTTGCTTATTTCGTGAAGATTATGAAATAACCGAAGATGAGCTAACAAGATACATCGTTGGTGAAGGCTTCTTGAAGGATGTATATAGCTTGGACGAAGCAAGAGGAAAAATACATTTGCTTGTGCATGATCTGATAGCGAGTTGCTTGTTGCTAAAAACCGAAAGAGAAAGAATAGTGAAAATGCATGATGTGGTTCGAGATGTTGCTGTTTACATTGCATCTAAAGGGGATGATTGTTTCTTTGTTAAGGCTGGCTTAGGTATGAGATACTGGCCTGAGAGCAAAACTTTGGAGATGTGCAAGAGGATTTCTTTGATGAACAATGATCTTTTGGAACTTCCAGATCAACCTAATTGCCCTAAATTACTCACCCTTCTATTGAATTTTAATCCTTCTTTGAATAGCATTTCAAATAATTTTTTTCGGGGTATGGCATCACTTACTGTTCTGGATTTAAGCGACACAAATATTCAGTCGTTGCCTTCTTCTCTCGCTCTTTTAACCAATCTTGGATCTCTTCGTCTTGACCGCTGCAAGAAGTTAACTGATATATATTTGATTGGGAAACTAAAGAAGCTCAAAATTCTTGGTCTGCAGAAATGTCAAGTTGACATTTTGCCAGAAGAAACAGGGACTTTGGCTGATTTGAAACTTTTGGATATTTCATATTCAACTTCTCTTGCCTTACCTACAACTTTGATGAATAGACTATCTCGGTTAGAAGAATTGTTCATGGTCGGTTATGATATAAAAGAATCTCTCTTCGTCAATATCGGTTACTTGGAAAGATTGGCCTATTTACAAATGTATGTAAGTGATATCAATTACTTCTCGCAAGATGTCGAAGCACTTGATGGATGGAAGAACTTGAAGAAATTCATGATTTATAATGAATTCGACTGGTATTCACTCGCTACTATGTATCAAAAGAATTTATTTCTCAAAAATGTGAATCAAGCAGGGAATTGGACAAAGATATTATTGGCAGAAGCTGAGGATTTGATCTTGGACAACTGCAACTGTGATAAAGGTGACTTTATCAATGTGAAGAAACTCCGTGTTGTTAACTGTGGCACTATAGAAAACCTACTTAGCACATCACAACCACAATTTTCTCCAAATGCCTTCGAGAACTTGGAGCATCTAAACCTCGCGAACTTAGAGAGTTTGAAAACAATATGTCAAGGGGAGATTCCATCTTCATCATTCAAGAAAATGAGAGTCTTGGAGATAATTCGATGCAAGAACTTGGTGTGCATAATGCCTAATAATTTGCTGCAAAGATGTCATTGCACTCTACAAGTCGTCTCTGTGAACTCGTGCAATGAAGTGATCGAGATATTCAACTCTGAGGGGTTCACACAAGGGATTGTTATATTGCCAAAGCTTGAAAGACTCCAATTAACTTCCTTGCAAAATCTCATAAGACTCTTCAGTGGAAATTTACCAAACGGGAGCCTTCAGAAACTAAGTAGGCTGCAAGTATCTGGCAGTAACAAACTACAACGCTTGCTCCCAGAAATTACAGGAGCCTTTGTAAACTTGGAAGAGCTTGAGGTTGGAAGTTGTGCAAGCTTGAAATATCTGTTCTCGTCGAGCATGGCTATAGAGTTAAAAAACTTAGAGAAGCTTACGGTGAAGAAAAATTATGCGATGGAGGTGATAATTGACAGTGAAGATGGTGTTGTGTTGGATAAAAGCTTGTTTCCTCGATTGAAGGTGGTTGTGCTTGTAGATCTTCCAATGTTGGAGAGATTTTATCGAGGGGAAATAACTGGCGGTTGTTTTGATTGGCCTTTGGTTGAGTTTGTGAGGTTGGAGCTTTGTCCAAATATGAAGATAATTCCCATCGGAAGTGAGAGTGCACCTAAGCTGAAGAAGATACATTTGGGAGATGACGATGATGTTGAATGGTTCAAAGGGTTGGAATGGGAGGATGCAAGCGTCATTTCGCGCTTTGAAATCTGGTAAGTTTTTCCCCCTATGACACAGGAGTGTTGCATATTGTTCAATGATAAATCATGTTTGAATCTTTTTATTTTATTGGGTGAAGTTAAACTGTTTAGCGTTTACATCATTGCTAATGAGATATTGTCTTGAATAACAGCAAAACTGGCCCTTAAGTGATTGCAAGAAGCTAAAGAGTGCTGCTGGATGGTAAACAGGTGAAGAATTGTTGCTTGCTTAGAGATATTATATTGCCTAAAATTATGTCATGTGCAGATACATAGACCCTACAATGTTACTTGAATAGGTTATACATCCCAATTTATTCGTGTTTTCTCTCAACAAATTCTATGGAAAAACTAAATTTAAGATAAACCAAACCCCAGAAGAATAACAAAGATTACAATAAGATAATAGAGCATTTGACAAACCATTGAAATAAGTTCATAGAGAGGAACCATTGCTGAAGCTGGCTACAATAACATTTACTTCTAACAAAAAAACATTTGTAGTAAACATTTAGATTGTGTGAAATTGAAAAACAATTGCTAACAGTGCTTCTTAGGCATTCCTCATGAAAATAATCAAATAAATGAAAACTGTTTACTTATAACCCATTTAAATTTTAATTAATACTTGATACCACATTGTTGCTCAAAACCAGCACCTTCTGAGAACCAAGTGGACTTTAGACATAAGTAGAAACCAATTAGACCTGAGAGCTTAAAATATTAAATATTTAACTCAACTTTTGATTTAACTTCATTATTCTGTAAGCCCTGCAGCAAGAGATATTAAATATTTAACTTAACTTTTGATTTGAATATTTAACTTTTGATCCAATAGTAAGCCCTGCAAATTAATCAGATTAACTAACATATAGAAAAGTTTGGGACTGTTCAAGCTATATAGTGCACACCAATAGTTTAGCGTATGGGTTATTTGAAAAAAGGATTAATAAATGGCTATTTATCTATCAACTTGCTCAAAATGATCCATCAACTTTTATTAAATTATATTATTCTCATAATATAATGAAGTATTAAAGGTTTTTTGTTTTATAAATCCAAAGTTTTATTACCATGTACTTTTTACCTACCCGCTTCCAAAATCACTCCTAGATCCAAAGTACAATAAATTATTATAAAACTTTCTTTGCAGTTCATTAAATTGATATATGTTCTAAGTTGCAATTATACATAGGGTTTTTTACTAATAAACCCAAAGTCTTTCACCTATTTATTTTTCGCCTAGCCAATTTTGTGTAAGGGCTTTTTGTCGATAAGTCTAAAGTTTTACCCTTATTTATTTTTAGAGCCACCCACCTCTAAAATCATTTCGACCCAAAATACTCCGGTGAATTATTATTAAACACACTTTGTATTTTACAAATTTGATTTGTACGGTATAAGTTGCAACAATATATAGGTATTTTTCCGATAAACCTCAAGTATTTACCCTTATTTATTTTTAACCCACTTACTCCAGAAAGGTATTTGCCTATAACCTGAAAGTTTTACCTCTGTTTATTTCTACACTCATCCACTTTCAAAAGTACTCCTACACCCAAAATAGAAACAAATTGTTCTTAAACTCACTTAGTATTTTAACAGTTTGGGAAATAGTGTAGTTGCTATATTCTGCTTTACTTGCTATAATTCTTTCAGAAGTGATTAGGTATGGAGAGTGTATTTAAACCAATTACTCGAGCCATTATTTTTTTTGGCTTTTCCACACTAATGACACAACATCAATTATTAGAAAAACTTATTTTAGTGCTACAGCCTAATTTTCTAGCGACGGAGTGGGTATTTGATAAATGCTGGATTTAACTTCTTTTTAGGGGTAAAATATGTAATATCTCTAATTTTCTAGCGATAAGTCCATATTACTAATTGTTGTAGGGGGTATCTGAACAGCTGAGTTAATTATATTTACCTGTAGATATAAATTTGTAAGGGAGATTTATGCATGTAACAATAGTTATTATAATAGTAGGCGTAATTATAAGCTAATTTATGGTGTATTAATTAATTAGTACCAATAACTATTGGATTTAACTATTGTTGTAGAGGGTGTTTGGTGTATTAAGTAATTAGTACCGACAACCATTGTTTTATATGTACTGAGAATTAGTTGAGGGTGTTTTATATGTATTAAGAACAATCATCATAGCTTCCCGTAAATTAATTAATTAATTAAAAGAGAGAGACAGAGGAGCTTGTGGAAGTGGTGTTTGGTTTGAAAGCTTAACAATCAATTTTATCTTGAATCAATTGGATAAAGATTAAGCCAAGGGTAAAGATTCTGATCGCATGAACTTGCTGTTATTTCCTTTCATTTTATTTTCATTATAAAATCGATCCATCCTTAAGTCAAATGCAGACCCTAGTTTTCAATATAAAAATCAACCAAGCTAATAATTATATTATAAGTTGGTTTAATGTGTATTAGTATAGCTAATATATTAAGCTAGCTATATTCTTGGGATATAAATTAGGTGATTGATATGATTAATATATCATATTAATTATTTAATTACTAGGCGGTGATGGTTGGGGTTGGGTATACGTTTGTAGTATTAATCTTTTGTTTTTCTTTATATATTCTTCAGGGATCTCTGGAGGCTCTGTGGAAGCATCGTGGGCGGTATTTGGATATTCGTTTAGTATTCTGGTAAACGGTGCATTTATGTATTTTTCTCTTCGTATTTTTCATATAAAATTATATTAAACATATGCAGATTTGTTCCTGATGGATTATATTCTTTTGTATGATTTATTCGCATATTAGTCGTTGATTGGATTTGATGCACATGGATATTTGGTATAAGCGATGCTTATTTTCTCATAGTATTAGGTTGAGATGCATATGTGGTTGGTTGGCCTTTGGTAATTCCTTTATAAAGTATTTGGTTGAACTTTGTTCATTTTTCTTAAAACATATGCATCTCAAGTCAATATACCAGTATATGTTGGAGATAAGTCAGCCACTTAAAAGGGCTCAATGTACCTTGATAAGGTTATTTTAGCGTTATGCTTAAGTTTTGGGTTTCTATATCATAGTACCATGAGATTAATAAAAGTGGGGATATCATGTCAATTGGACATTAAGTGTTGACCGTATTGAGACGTGACACGCTTATCTTCCGTTGCATGATTTTTAATTATTCAAATATTTGTATCAAGTATGGGAGTTCATGGATGATTTTTTGTTATTTTAATATTTTGCATATCTAAGTCAAAATATTCTAGCTTTGCAAAATTAGTATTTAATGTATAAATTTATCCACTTATTGAGTTATGAACTCATTGTGTTGTATTCACTTTTTTTTTCCAGAGACATGAGATAAGGTAAAGTTAGCGGTTTCCAATTCTTAGACGGGAGGAAGGAATAAAATTTGTAGGTTGCTATTTTCTTTCAGATGAAGGTTAAATAAAGTTTTTGATGTTTAGTTGATATTTGAAAGTGTTATGAGAAATCCCAAGATAAACTAATATCAATCACATGAAAGCACGAAAAATATCAAGAATACACGAACATAAAGACATACGTGATTTGGCTTGTAGCCTGTGTACACGGGCGAAGGAGGAGAATAGCTTTACTAAATTGTGAAGAATACAAAGTGGATCTCGATCTCAATCACTTAATCCCAAATAACACCCCAATAATCTCAATCAATCTCTCTCACAATCTCTTATTAATTAGAGCAACAAATAGAGAGCTTTATTTAACTACAGCCGTAACAAAGAACTCCCCATTCTTTTTCTTGGTGTTGCATCCTCTCTCGGGAAAGAACTTTTGTCTATTCTTATACTGCTAGTCTCGGTCGGTTGGTATTTGGGACTTTCATCAAATAACAATTCCTATCTTTCTGACCTTATCTTCAGATTGATGAGAGCGACTAACTCCTACTTAAAATATGCTTAGCTACCTTTATCACCAAATGACCCAACTAATAAGAATTATGTTCTTATCCAACAGTTAGGAGATTAAATCATGCTGCACGTAGCTCTCCGTCAAAACAAGACCAAGACAAAGATTATTGGTATTGAGTTCGATTCAGTTTCAATTTGTGTATCAATATTTGAGTGATACTAACAAATCTCCACATTGACTCAAATACGTAGGAAATTCCTCACTCCAAAATAAGCTAACTTATCCCACCTTCTCCAATAATCCCACAGGGCATCTAAGTGCGGCACATATGGATCAAGTCCAAGCGCCGCTTAAACTTGCCAGCTGAAAGAGGCCTCCTCAACAAATCGACTGAATTGTCTGCACGACCATAACTCTTATCGAAGTCATCACCTGAAGTAGCTCGTGAATAGCTAAAGGGCACAAAATTATCAACCGACAATGTGTAAGCGGTCGTATCTTCATATCTTCGCGGTGGGCGAATATCACGTCTAGACCGGTCTCTAGCAATAGTGTATTCTTGCTCTTCCTACAGGTACTGAGGTGATTCATCTACTTGAACGGTGTCACTACTCCAAATTCCGAACGTAAAAGGAATATTGAAGCCGAACTAAACCTGTGAAAAATCTTTCAAAAATATACATTCATCAAAAGGCCATTAAAAAATCTCATTGAAAATAAAACCAACAATAAATATTCTCTATAATCCAAAAAGTCAACATTGATCCAATTAACTTGGTATAAACAAATATTCATCAACTCGAAATAAAAATCAACCTAAAGGAAAGAATCTTATTATTCCAAAACTCTCAATTTGTCAACTAAACATCAATGACATTATTTAACCTTCACTTAAAAGACAATAACAATCTCGAATTTTATTCCTTGCTCCGTTCTAAGAATTTGAAAAAATCATCAATTCCACCTAATCCCGAGTCTCTGAAAAGAAGGAAAACAACATAATGAGTTCACAACTCAATAAGTGGATAAATTTATACATTGAACACTGGTTTTACAAAAAATTAAATATCTTGACAAATGATAAGCAAAATATAAGAACGATAGAGAATCATCAATGAACTCTAGTACTTGATGCAAATATTTAAGAAAACTTAAAAAAACATGAAATGGAAATAAACAGACTACGTCTCAATGCGGTCAACACTTCATACTCCGGTTGACTTGATAAACCCCATAATTATTAAGCCCGTGGTTCCGGGACGGTGAGACCTAAATTTGGGCTCTTAGCGCTAAAATAAAATCTTATAGAGGCACATTGAGCCTAGTTTAAATATCTTGCTTATATCTGACATATACCGGTATATTTACCTGAGATGCATATACTTTAAGAAAATTAAACAAAGTTTGTGAAACTAAATACGTTATACAAAAATGCCCAAGGCCAACCAATAGTGAAGCCAATCAACCACATATGCATCTCAACCTACTATTATATAAAAATACATAACAATTGACAAAGAAAATAAGCATAGGCTTATACCAAATATCCATGTGCGTCACATCCGAATCAATATTTAACATGTGAGTAAATCACACAAAAGGATATAATCCATCAGAAATAAATTCGCATATAATTAACATAACTTTATATGAAAAATACGCAGTGCACTATGCATGAATTCACCAATTACTCAAACCTGAAAAGCTATCGGAATACCAGTCATGACGCCTCCTCAAAATCACTTGAAACCCCTAAAGAATTCATAAAAAGCAGTCATCAATACAAACATCCTAATAATCACTAAAATAATTAAGTCATTCATCTATATTATATTAATTAATAAACTTCAAATATTCGTAGGTTATCTAGCTTATTAGTTTGCATCCTATGCAAAAATAACTTGTAGTCTCTAGTCCAAAGGCCAAACATCTAATACTTAGTTCCTATCTACTACAAGATCACAACCATGATTACTAATTATTTAATAAAAACTCAACTAAAGAGGATATCAACAGGAGCTGCACTAGACTAAGGAATTCATCCATGGCCAAGATAATAAAGACCAGCTAACTAATGAAGACATGGTTTACTACGAAATATAGAGCAAGATCAATAATTCAATTTGAGGAGAAGAAAAAAGATGGTGACGGCAAATAAAGCCCTAATCCATCTACAAGTTGCTATGGATAGAAAATAGGATTTTTACCGTATTCCTCGTGTTAAACTGATCAAGTCGCCATTCAAAGATTTGATTTTTTTTATGCGGCGAAACAAAAACAGGAAAGGAAGGAAGAGGCTGACGGGAAAAGGAGAAAGAGATGGGTAGGGTTTTAGGTATTTATAAAAGTCCTTTTTGCTATTAGAACCCTCTAATTAATTTTGCATATAAGTCCTTTTATTTTTTTTCTTTTATATAAGTAATAATAAAACCTGAAATTATTACAAACGGGATCTGGATACTAAACTCTTGTAGTTTTATCATGCTGAAGAGCTGAATCACAAATTTTTAATTTCACATTATATCTTGTAGTGTGTAGGCGTTGAAAATTGCCTATAGGTCTCCACGAGTAGCTCAAAGCTAAGAAAAGACGATGAACGTCACTATCCAAGTCACAGAAGCTTGATTGACGTCGACGAACGCTTAAAGTGAATCGACGAACTACGTGAAGTAACGGAGTTTCAGAATAACGAAGATACGAACTGATCGGGAGCCCCGCGTCGCTTACAAAGGGCGAAACGCCGCTCGTACCCCAGCTTAATCCACAATGATCTAATCATCGGAGCTTATAGAACTCCTCGTCGGCTTTCCAACGCACTTTGAATCACTCAAATCCGAGTTCGGATGAAGAAGTTACGACGAAAACGGACAAGTGTGCAAAACGAAGCGTCTCAGCCTGAGTTGAGACACCCCGAGGTGTCTCGGCCCAACCGAGACACCCAAGGGTGTCTCGACCAAGGCCGGGTGTCTCGGCCTCGCTGAGACACCCAAGGGTGTCTCCAGGGTGTCTCCAGCCTTAAAAAATTGGCCGTTATGCGGTTTTAACCGCCCGGGCTTCCTGGAGCCTATAAATACAGCCCCAGGACTTCATTTTTGGAGGATCTGGAATTCTCGAGCGTTGGCGAAGCCCTGCCGGACTGAAGATTAAAGGTGTACGAATTTTAGAGAGAGGAGGAGAGATCGGATCGAGTTCGTCGGCATAAAGAAGAAGAGCTCGTCAGATCTACATTTCTCGTGTCCGTTCCTTAAGATTATCCCGTTGCGATAATCTTAAGAAGAGCACTTATCTCGCCGTTGCCGAGATAAGCGTTTCTGTTTCTTGATTTCTTAGCGAATCAACGAAGCTCTGCCCAATTTTTCAGCAATCAGATCTGATCGACGGTGGTCCACGGATATCAACGTCCCCGTCACAGGCCAAGATCCCACGCAAGCAGAAGACCGATAAACGATCTCTGCGCTGTTTGAAGAGAATTGTACTTTTGTTTTGTTTTCATTGTGTAAAGGTCTTATAAAAAGACTAATTTTTGTTTTCGTTGTAAATGTCTGAAGTTTGTAATGAACACCGCAATGAATCAAATAATTTTCTTCGCAAACAAGCTGACGACCACAGTGGGAGCCAACAGCCTCGTTGCCGAGGCTGTCGTGCCGCAGCCGACGATCAAGATCCCCGTGGCTGAAGAGGTCGAGTACGAATTCGACCAGCAGAAATTTGAAGAGTACATCTCCTCCTTCAAATCTGTTCCTCCTCATAAGCGCAGGAATATTTCCTCCTCCCAGAAGATCCGTCGGTCTCCAGATCTGAAGACTCAAGAAGTCGATTTCCCCGTAGTCGATGCTACAGTCGTACCTTGCAACGGTCCGCCGGCATCCAATGAGACCAGATCTGCAGATCTGAACTCCTTCGTGATCAAGGAGTCGACTGCTGAAGGCGCACTAACTCTATCAAAAAGAGCACGTCAAAAGCAACGCCAACGCCTCGCGCGCCAATTCGCCAAGGCCTTGGGTCAGGTGGACGGACTCTGTTACCAAGCGGATCTGGAGTTCAGAAAGCGCCAAGTGGCTAATCTATCGCCACGACCAGCATCTGGATCCTCCTCCCGACCTCCGATTAACAAATGGGTTCGTGTCAAACGAACCCGCTCTACTCTCGAGGAGCGAATCCAGAAGCGCCGCGCCTTGCTTGCGCATGCCCGGATCCTTGTACGAAAAGCACATGAAATGCAAAAGGAAGAGGCAGTTAAGAAATCGCCAAGATCCAAACAAGTTTGGATGCCAAAAGCTAAATCAGCGCCTAAGGCAAAAACAAACGGAACTATCATTAAGCTGTTGTCAACTTCAGATCCCGACCCTCCGGTAAAGCCCCATCGCAGTGTGGATTTCCCCAAGTTCAGGATTCTTCTGAAGGATCGCCTCGGTTATCTATCCGAAGATCGAGGCAAAGCGCCTGTTAAGGAATGCTTGGGACCATTAAAGGAACCCCGAGCAAACATCCAGACTGGGGGTCGTACGCGACCTCCTAACAAGTTGATTTTTACAATGGCCCGCTTGGGGGTGCGTACAGAAAACCAGGAGCCCGTTAAGGTTTCACCCTCACAAAGGTGTGATTCCAAACGTGTGACTCCCGCAGACGCCAACAATACGATGTTTACTCAGAGGAAAACACGTCAGACAGACGAATGCATTATACCTGAGAATTCATGTAAACAGCCGATAGATTGCTCTGACCGCAACGTCGATGAGTTGTACTATCGGGCTGGGGGTACGAATAAATCTCGAAAGAGAGGTACCCGGGAAGCAGACTCTCACTGTCCGTGTACCAAACTAATCAGGGTAGTATTATCAGCGTGTAGCTGCTCCAAGACCACTCCGCAGGGGGTCTCGGCATTTGAGAGGATCTCCACTGAAGCATCAAAGCCCAAATCAAGGCGTTTTCGCAAAAGACGATCGGTTGTTCAAGATGACGAACTCCCATCAGTTACTATCAACGTGGTTGATAAGGGAAAGACTCCGATTAGTTCAAATAGCTCTAACCCTAATTTCTCTCCAGGAAGAAGAGTCAATTCGGGAATAACCCAACGAATATCTCAGCTTCAGCTAGAAGCCATCGGATATAACGATTACCCGGGAATCCATGAAGGAATCCATTCCGATGACGAACTCTCGGATTCTTATTCCGCACTCGCTTCCGACGATACAACGTCTAGCATGGGACAAGCTCGGGAAGTGTTCATGATCAACACCGAGCAAATAGTCAAAATCATTGAGGATGCTCTAGCCAAGCAGAAAGAAACATTCAAAATCAAAATGGAAATGGTTATGCAGGAGATGAGACAAATGCACGATCAACAAATCCGAGCTTTGTCGAATCAGCTAGGTGAGTCCAGTCGTCGCAGCACTGCTAACTAAGCAGGTAGCGATTGGTGGCCCCACTAAAAATAACGATGCTGGGGGTGGCCCCACTAAAAATAATGACGCTGGGGGTGGATCCATCAATAATGATAACACTGGGGGTGGCCGCATTATTCCTCTCGAAAATTGTCCAAAACAGGATATAGATGAGGATGAAAAGATGAAGGATCTCGAGAACAAAATCGACGCTCTGATGTCTGCTCAGGGGATAAAAAGAACCGGTATTCCATCTCCCTACCCAAGAAAGTGGGATTCGATCCCGTACCCGGCGAAGTTCAACCTGATTAACTTCACGCTGTTTGATGGGAAGGGTTCGCCCATGCAGCATCTGATCTACTTCAAGTCCCACTTGGGTATAATCTCTGGCAATGAAGCCTTGATGGTTTGGTCATTCGTTGACACCCTTCGCGGGCCTGCCTTCGATTGGTATCGGCGTCTTAAACCCGGAAGCATCAACAACTGGGAGGACCTGGAGAGCATGTTCCTCGCTCATTTCTTTGATGATGACGCCGAGGTGTCAATCAGGACACTCTTCGATGAGAAACAGAAAGACGGAGAGTCAGTGGATACCTTTGTCAAACGCTTCCATAATCAGGCAATGAACTGTAAGGATCTCATCACAGAGGAATTCGTCTTGCAGACCTGTCATAACAACTTGTCCATTAACATCTTGGATGTTATGGGAGTAGAGCCGCTCAATACCTGGAAAGAGTTGAAGGTACGCGGAGAGCAGGCTGAGCGCTTCCTCAGAAGGAGGAAGATCGAAAGAATCCAACCAATGGCTAACCCTCTGAATTCGAGTCTCATTTCCCATGATGAAGGGAAGGCACCTACAGCACTTGTTGACGTTAATCAAACATCGCAACAGTAACCCCGAAGACAGCAGAAGACTTCAAATTCGAGGCTCCAAAAAGAGTACTCATTCAAGGACGAAGACGTTCCAGCCATCTTCGAGACCCTTCTCGAAAACAACAAGATCAAGCTGCCACCCATCACGAATCAGGAGGAAGCTGACAATACTGTGGATCCAAAGTACTGCGCGTACCACAGGAGGATCCTTCATCCCACCAAGGCTTGCTTTACTTTAAAGAATAGCATTCAAACCTTGGTTGAAGCCGACATCATAATGTTGAGATAAGCCGAATGAGAACGGCAACACTCCGAAAAGTATAAGAGTATAAACTGCTTCTTCTAAAACTCCAACAGGTATATGAGTATAAAATGTTTCCTTTGTATCCAACGGGAAGTTCCCGGAGAATATTATACGGGATATTCTTAGGGATAACCCGATATCAACAAAGAGGGGTTGGAAATAAGATATTGCTTATTGAACCAGTCTCGCCAAAGAGCTAGGGTCGAGTATCCCGAAGTTTTTGGTGATTCTCAATTAATTTGAACCCAAATGGGAAGGACCATTCGTAGTAGAGATAGTCTACTCAAGGGGCGCATATCGCCTTGTTACCAGAGATGACGATCGGCTTATGATGTCGATAAATGACAGATTCCTGAAAAAATACTACCTTTAGTATATTCAGGATAACCAATGTATCGGGAAGTTCCCGGAAGAATACTACGTGTGGTATTCTTAGGGATAACCCAATCACTATAAAAGTGATAAATAAGAGATACACATTTAAACTCTGAATGTCAGAATGTTTCCTTTTATTGTTATCAAATTCTCTAACTCTCATGAGTTAGTTTTGTGAGACGAGATTCGATCCTTTGACAGATTAATCCTTCCTCGCAAAACCATCCACTGATCAAATCAATTGACGGTGGGTCCACCAAAATTTCTATCCACCAATCATTGGCAATTCTCAGACTCAACATGTTAAGTCCTAATCACTTAGCGTTGAAGTCCTCCATTGAGTGATAGTACGAGTTGGCATTCTCATTGCTTCTGGTATACCACT